GATGTATTTTTTTGGTGTCCCTAAAGATGGGTGCATTCTCCCCTGAAGTCCTTCCGTCCGACCACGGGGACTCTGATGCTGATGACCGCCCTGCATTCTGGCTGCGACCAGGTCAGCGTCTACGGAATGGGCTACACCGACAAGTACACCCTGTATTACTACGACTCGGCGTATCGCCGCTTCCACATGGACAAGTCGTCCCACGACACGCAGAGCGAGCTGGCCATCCTGAAGGGCCTAGACCGGGCGGGGATCATCACCTGGTACAAGCGGGACGTGGAGGAGTTCCACACTTCGTGATGTATTGGCCATCAAAATCATTCGTCAGCCATTCGGGAAATCATGCCAAATAACTCCCTCACCTCTTCAGCCATACATCAGGTTTAAAGGAATCAACGAAATCGAAATAATTTTGGTGCAATTTTGTATCCAGGTGTGGGGAGGGGCAAAAAATGGGATTTATTCGTAAAAACAACAATTTAAATTTGTTTCCCTCGTCCCCTCCCCAGAATTTTGCTTACACCACCCACTGGGTAGCCAGACTCAAGCAAAGGTTATAATCATAACTATAGTGAGGATTTTTTTTTCAGGGGGAAGTCGGACAGTTTCACAAGTGAAGTTTCCGCGAGGCTTGAAGGCTAGTCTCTTCTCAAGATTGACAATAAAACCCTTTGCATTGGAAAGTGAATGCAGTATCCTCAACTTGAAAAGATCAGTGCGAGCGGCTTCGCCACCCGTACCGCACTCGCTTTGGTAGTCTTCGTCGTGCTAGCATTGATGTCCATTGCGTGCTAGCAGTCGAGGTGCGCGCGTGTCTAGGTACATGTACATGTACTAGGCGCGCCTAGAGTAAAGGCTACATCGACCGAAGATCTGGGGTTGGGTTTGGCACAGATGTTTGCAGAGAGAGAGTTGCGACATGTGTGTCTAAATTGTGGTGTAAAAATGTGGATTATATGTCAGTACACGTGGCCAATTAACACACAAAAGCTGCATGCTGTATTGACTCATAAGGAGAGCCATTTAGTTGCAGAGTCTGAAGTTAGCGAAACTCTCTTTACATCAGCTCTGGGTTAGGATGGAATGAGCGTCAACCCTTTCCCCAGCCTGACATCCCCAAAAGTAACAACTGAGTAAAAATTCAAATAACAATAAAGTCAATATAGTAATAATAAAAAAGTGAAATCATGTAAGGGCTATTATTTATGGCGATTGTAAGGAATTACTGTCTGCCGGGTTGCAACAATCAGACATTAAAAAAATCTTACATCAGCCCTGACCTCCCCGGAAAATTCCTGGATCCGCCCCAGTACACTGTTTGAATTCGAAAGCACGAAGTTATGCTTACAAAAAATCTTTCATACTCGTTCGAGGAGTAATGACAGCCATGGAACCGTTGCTATTTTATCCATTATATGTCTTTACGTAATGTTGTAAACGGATAATACTGATGTCGAATGTAATTTATCATGGGTTTGTTTGGTAGATTTTATGTGCTCGTCTTACCTCACTGGACTTCAGTGGGTAGTCTGGTGATTTTTATTGAATTGATGATAATTAAATAGGTGTTATGCAGTTTATTATACATATAGGCCTATTTGAATATAAGTTTTCAGCACGTTCTGAGCAATTGTTGCTGTAGTCGTTAAAGGGTAACTGGATCATTGTTTTTTATTACAAACTTGCACAATGCACCTTTGTGCCTCAGTAAAACTTGTTTTCAACTTTGGTTTCACTATTTCAAAGTTTATTTTAATGCCTTTAGGTTTTATGCTAATAAGTATTTCCATAATCACGAGTAAAACTGTGATGTCATCCCAGGAAGCAGCCTCAATACATTGGTTGGACACAAAAGTTATGCGTTTTTGTAGATATTTTGTAAGTTTTTGCTGTTTCGTTGTTGTTTATGTGCATTGCAATAAGAAACCACCAATTCCCCTCTCAGAAATTCTTTCAGTTAATAAAATGGACAGAATCATGTCTTCCCTAGATGACTTCAAAGCAACAACGCCCTCAGTTGTCCGGGAAAACATGGATAATTTTGAATGTTTACAAGTGCGGACTTTTCAATGCATTTAGCCAAATGTGAGTGCGTAAGAGTTTCCATACATTGAAAAGTAAAAAGATGCAGAAAAATTGTGTCAAAGAAAAATTCATTGCAGCAACACTTTTAGCATTCACATCTATTTCATGCAAGTTCTCACTTTATGACTCTGATGGATTAGTTAAGGATTTTTTGGCGGTTACACCATGTACAATATTCTCTTTTATGAGTAGGTGTGGTTCTGAGAAGAACCGGTTTTACTCAACGTTTCGGAACAGTATACAGTAGAGTATACTGTTCCGAGACGTTGAGTAAAACCGGTTCTTCTCAGAACCACACCTACTCATACAGTAGAGTATACTGTTCCGAGACGTTGAGTAAAACCGGTTCTTCTCAGAACCACACCTACTCATAAAAGAGAATATTGTACATGGTGTAACCGCAAAAAAAATCCTTAACTAATTGTCGATCCGCCATGCAAACTTTCAAGCGCTACTTGACTCTGATGGAGCTTTAAACCTTCCCCCTTTTTAAAAGCAAATTGAAGTTTTGTCACTTATTATTCGAAGAGGTCCTTTAACAGCGGGGGTCATGCTTAACTAGAGGTCCAAGCGAGACAAACCTGACAAGTCTGTGAAAGTGGAGAACAAATTAGAATTGCCCGTGATGATGCTTCAAAGTACATGTATTAAAAAACTATTTCGACTGTTTACACACTTGTCAACAGCTACATATTGAACTCGCCGAAACACCTGTTGTCTTTATTCGTTTCTCTTCACGCATGCATTAAAACTAAATACGCTGCTTTTCTGGTTGGCATGATACACGCACTAGATTCTTTCAAACGAAAGCTTACCTGAGTGAGTTTGACTCATCAGTTGAATTAGTTAATTCTGTCCCTTTTGTGACTTTGGCCAGTTGTCTGTCACTTCTCGAACGGTGACGCACACTCTAGACGCAATGTCCAAATGCACAGAATGTAAACGCGTGGAGCCGGGATCACGTAATCACGGGACTCCACTGCCGGTTCCTCGTCTGCTGCCACGAGGATTGGTACCCTTAGCTCTGATTATGACCGCGGCATTGCTTTACGTATTGGTAAGTTAAACGGATTTGTTGTTGAAAAATGGTACACTTGCAGTGGCGTAATAACGGGGTCAGGGGTCACCCCCCTCCCGCGGAAGTTCATGCCCCTGCGTGCCGCTTGTTGAAATTTTGAGATGTAAGCAGTCTATACAAAGTACAGTTGTTTGTTGTCAGCACCCCCTTTAAAAATTATCGCTGCACATTGGCTCAGCCAGACAAGGTGATTCATCCTTCTTGAGCACGCGCATGCATTATCTCTGTGATCCATTCATGAAGAAGGAACAAATTGACGTTGTGACCAAATCTGTTTCGAATAGCGTTTCATATTCCTGGCTGTCTCTCGGGAGAATTACGGGGTTCGATTATCTGCCAAGGAGACAGAGTGTCTTATTCCCTACATGGTCAGAGTCCACAGAAACAGCCAAAACTAACAGTCCGACAAAAAAAAAATTGGCATGCACTGTCATCATACTGAAAAAGTATGGTTGGTTCCTTTATAATCAATAATATATGTACTAGGTTTCCAGTGGTGCATACTATGGGGGGGCAAATGCCTTCTCTCCTTCAGCCGTGTTGCTAATTTATGTTTGTTTTCTTCACTGAAAGCGATAATACTTTTGAAACGGTACTAGCATATTGGGGGCAGTTAGGAATTCCTACGATTAAACAAATGAAAATATAAATCTGGACCGAGTTCTCGGAAACTCAAAATAATTGTAAAATATGAACTGTAAAATGTCACATGCAGTTACTAGCAGCTCGGGAACCAGTAATGTTAATGATTTACCGTAGGCCCTAATTATATTGACAGTAAATCACTGTAATTAATTGGACAGTAAGTTAACAATAAAAGTCACATTTATCAGTCTCGGTTAGCTTATATTGATGTAGTGCAGACAGCCTCAGCAAATAACGACTTTTATTGATTGCGGATTCACTCTACATGTGTTTCATTCAAGACTAGTATAAGATCAGTGATCCCCATTACTTCATTTCCCAAAACCTTGATAACAGTCCTGATTCATAATATGCACATCGTATTGGTATGCATTGGTTGGCCCCTATGATGTAGGCCTATTCACAGTTGATACATGAAAAAGTCAGATTTTTCATTTTTCATATGAATTTTATCTTTTCAGGCAATGGTTGGCATTTATATGCAAAACTACACCCATAAGGCACAAACTTTTGTCTAAATACAGTAAATAACCTCAAATGCTTGCGTAAAGAATGGCAAAATCACTCAATTTAGCAAAGTCACCCAGGTTAAAAAAGTTTGTGCACAAAGCTATGTAATACTGGGGTTCTTTTCCCAGGAGTACTTAAGTCTAACTGGCATAAAACCAAAATTGTACAACAAAATTGCAAAGGAGGTTAACTGCAGCACAAAGGTGCCTTTTGAGCCGACTATAAATTGAATTGCAGATGTTACACCCAGTTAGTTCGCTGCATAAATTTAAAGTGAACCCCGTTTGAAACCCCGATCCACTCGTAAACACAGAGAGAATAAAACATAGAAAAATTAGTTCGATTTACAAGAATATTGTAAACAAAATTTATCCATATTTTAAACAAGAATATCTAGCAAATTAATAAATTCAAATATAATTTCAGTTATATAAGTCTGGCTGATCTTGGAAATCTGGAGAAGTGTTAAACCCTTCACCAATCTTTGTTCATCAGCAAACTCAAGAGAGAACGGAGTGTAAGCGCTCAGTCAATTCAGCTTATCCTTAATTTAATAAATGGCATCAAGGAATGACCACGAAACTGAAATGTGAATCTAATATCAAATAAACTCGATAGATTAACAACAAATTATAATTGGTAGTAAATCCAGTTCAATTACTCTGCAACGTATGGTGTTATACCTTAGACTCTAATGAATACTTGGTCGGGCCCATTGAAATTTTGTTGTCACCAAATTGTATGAGCCTCCTTCACGATCCCCTTGCGTCAGCTGGCTAGCTCACCTGTATAGACGTGTGGGCACGTACAATCCCGATGAGTGGCCGCATCGGGCGTGCCGTACTAGCTCACGGCTAAATGAACGTCAATCGGACGGTCTGGACAGCTGTGCGCCGTGCGGTGATCCCTGCACCTGACTGTTCGAACCTGTCTTGTCCAGGATCATGATACAGGACAAGACAGTAGCAAGTCAGATTCCACACATTAGCACCTTGCAACATTGCTGTGTGTTTACCAATAATAATAATACTAAGAATAGTAATAAGAATAATAGTAATGCTAATAAAAATAGATATATAGATTTATATATCCGGAAAACTGATCAAGGTGCGATTCCATTATTATTATTACCCCTGCCCACTGGGCCCATGAAACATTCCAAATACCATCTCAGCTTCCTGGGGAGTACACAGCTCGATGCTGCCATTTCGGCGCAACGCCATCACAGGTACCCAATTACTCCTGGGTGGAGAGAAGCAGTGAGTGACAAAGTACCTTGCCCAAGGGCACACACACCATGACCCCTAGCTGGATTTGAACCCGCAACCTACGGCTTTACCCCGCCAACTAAATAATAAATAAATAGTAAACTTCTGTGCAAAAATTGCCATTCATAAATCTCAGGTAACGTAATTTGACAAAAATTAAACAAATCTCCTAAAATTGATTTTAAAAATCACCCAGTGCCTCAAAGTGATTCAAAATCTTCGATAATCAGTCAAAATTTAACAAAAAATCATCATGTTTATTCAAATCACAAGTAACTTCTCTTCTTACGGAAAACAGATGTCTCATGTGCACAATGCAACTTAGTCACCAGACTTTTCTTTTGTGTATGCCAGGTTTCCCCAATACCTTTCAAAAAACACTACACAAATTCATCAACACGAACTGCGAGCGATCGACTCGTGGGCATCTCTGTGTTTTCTCATCACAATGACAACGACACCAGTTATATTGTACGCCGTGAGTGTTTTCTATAACAGAAATCTGCGCGTTAATTCCAAATTATTATTATTACAATATAAATAAACGCAAAGACGGAAGGAAATGACAAATTTTCCCAAAACTTTATTCATATTCATATAAATCCATAAACTCATATTATATTCATATATACATGGTCCCATGAATCCTTCGGTGCACTAACTATGGGAACGACTCTGCGTGCTCGCAGGCATTGTCCTCAAGTTGCGAAGGAGCACACACACAGAAGTAGAAGAAATACAGAAACTGCAGAAAAACATCAGGGAAAAAAGAGAAAAAGTTCGGCACAGGCTGTGACTGCAGTGGAAGCATTTTAACACAGCATGTGGAATCAATAATTCACGCCCAACAAACCAAATGCTTTAAACACAGATGTGAGCCTATTGACGTTTCGCCCGTATATTCTGAAAATTGGCCGTTTAAGATTCCGTACGGCTCCCGCCCAGATGCTCTTTCTGATATTGATGTACGGTTTGTTTCAGAACACGTGGCTGGTTGGCACATCATCTAGTCAAGCCTACGAAGCAGAATTTGGGTCAAAAAGATTGGAACATGTTTTTGCAAAACGTAACGCCTTTTTTCAAAATAAAACCTCTGTCTTTTTTTAATTGAATGTATTTTTAAAACGAATGTCACTTTTAAAAGATCGTATATTGACTTTCGGAATGCTTTTTAAAAAACCGAATGAGTTTTTAAAGATGCAATACATGTTTTTTAGATTCGAATGAATTTCTAAAGGGCGAATGTATTTGTATAGACGGAACATATTTTCTAGATTGGAATAAATTTACATTATTTTATTATGTACAAAATGATCCACACGGGTAGGTAGTCCTACGTGGTCAACTGCACCACGAACGTGATTCGTGAAGAAACTAATCCTCAACCTACACCGTACCAGGGAAACCCTCACGGTGATCAGGGTAACCCTCACAATAGCCAGGTAACCCTAGAATGAACAGGTACCCTCAAGTCTAAATAAACTACCGATGGCTTATAACTGATGAGTCTTGACCACACAAGCAAAGACAATCTTCGTAATTATAGGACAGCACAACATGGTAGACTTATACAAACAACTTTAAAGAGTGAATAGGATTTCAAAATTCAAATAAGATTTTACAAATCCAACATTTCCTCAAGATTGAAACGAATTTTGTAAGTCCAAACAATTTTTAAGATTGCATGTAGCCTTTGTTTTGCATGCACAGAGTTTATCCACTACGGACACAGGGCATGGGGCGTAAGTTGTCCCTACCATTCAACTACCTTTGATCCAAAGAACAAATTAGCAGAGTTTCAAAGCAAAACGTTGTTTACTTTCCTAGCAACTGCAAACAAACAACTAATAAAAAGCTCGGTCTGTGTGTTTCTCTGTTTTCACGAAGTGACAAGTCGCAAAATAAGGGCAAAATAAAGAGACTATGCGTGCGAACGATGTTGTACTTGAGCACCTGGGCGCGTGTTGAAATGTAACAAAACGTAACGATTTTTTTCACGAAGTGACAAAAAATGTGTATAATGCAAAAGCAAAAAATAAATAAAGAGATAAAAATAAACTAGAAATGTGTTTGTGGACAAACACAGCTGCGTCGGCCCTGGTTGTTTTGATCTGAAAACCAGTGACGAAGTTCTCGAAGTACGCACAAGAGTGTAGGCTAATGAGAAGTTCACATAAACGATACAGTACAAACATTGGTCGGTAGAACATTTAAAATCCTCGTGTAAATGTAACAGGACTGCGATGTAATGGTACAGCCATCAGATGAAATGAAATTTCCACCTTGAACCCTTCCCTCTTTAGCCATCGGTAAAGTTCAAACCGAATGGGACATGTCCGTTGCGAGATACAGTACTTTAAAGAGAGCCCCTTTAATGTCACGTGACTAGGTCAATCTGGGTCTGAAACCCTTCCCTCTCAAACTATACACAACATTTCAAACAAATTGCACACGTAATTCGCAAGATATAGTGCTTAAAACAGTGCCCCTGTAAAGTCACGGATTTATCACATGATCGCGTCGTTATCACATGTCAATTTACGCCTGAAACCTTTCCTCTTCGAGCGACACACAAAGTTTCAACCAAATCGGACATGTAATTCGCGAGATATGGTGCTTCAAAGAGTGACCCTTTCAGGTCACATGACTTGTCCCGTTATGACGTCTTCATCACATCAGGTCAATTTAGGTCTAAAACCTTTCCTTCTTAAGTTATATACAAAAATGAAAGCCAATTGGACATGTAGTTCGTGAGATATAGAGCTTTAAAGAGTGTCCCTTTAAGGACACATGACTTATCACGCGATGACGTCATCATCACATCAGGTCAATTTAGGTCTAAAACCGTTCCCCGCACTTCGGGGGCTATTGGGTATACACAAACTAAGAAAGGTCGATTTCAAAGATGGGAAGAAAAACAATACAAATATCAGTTTCACACAATTCGTTCAAAATCCAATTCCTTCCTATAACTCCTTATTGGCTACTGAATTTGAAATGGACAAATCTGCGATTGCACAGAGTCTGAATGTGGAATTTAAGTGTATGTTGAAAAATATATTCAAAACATTGAACGTGAAACCTGGTCTAGAGGTTGAAGGATTATCAGAGTTGAATGCTCCAGTGTCCTACTCTTTATTTATGCCACATTAAGGGGAAAACTGCATTTGCATGTGCTTTAGGAGATTTTACTATTGTGTATGAAAAAGAGTGGGTTTTTTTTGCCCTGAAGATTTCCAGACATACTTAAGAAGAGATAGGAACACAAAATATAAGGCTTTTGTGAATGCTGAAAACATCGCATCAAATAATTTGAGTCAGTTCTGTTTCCCCTAACCTCACTATCCAGAGCTACAGAGCACAGAAAGTGCAGACAAGAACTTGCAATTGAGAATGTTTCTTAAAGCTAATTGCCTACCAGAGCCAGTTGCAGCAACTCATCCATATCCATCCAGCTTTCAAACCCAGATGCCCGCCGCACTACATGTGACTGCGTATGGAGTCGCAAGCGCTCGTTAGGTACACCCATGCTCACGGTCATTGTGTGTGTGCGTGTCTGAGAAAACCGTCGAAAATATCCTCCCAATGTGTTGTCTGTTGGGATGTGACCACGCAAATGGGAATACGTGCATGGAGGAAATACTTTAAACAGTTGGTTAAGGCCTGACATAAGATCTTCAAGTTCATTTCCCTCGATATTTTTCACAACTTTCTAGCCAAATTATATGTACATATACAAAGAAATGCAGTAAGTGTATGCGGCAACACTTCCCACGTCAACGCATCCACCGATCGCCCAGATTATGGCCGTTTTCCAATATTCGACTTCGTCTCCGCCGCAGGTTTCGTTCCCAAAACCAATCCCCGATTGGGGGCCTGAAGCGTTTAAATTAAAGTGAATTAATGTAATATTTACCTTTCTCTTTGGTGTTCTGTGGCACTCTTACACTGATTACTTCGCTTACAGCTTCAAAGTCATCTAGTAAAAAAACCCGTTGAAACCTGAGACGCCTTCGAAACTCTGTATTTGAAAAACGGAACAGCTGATCTCGCAAAGTAAGGACATACGCAAACGCGTAGGCAAATCGGCACTTGTATGCATGGGTGTCAAAATGTGTACAAAGTTAATGGGAGAAATTTAATTTTCAAAATTAAATGATAAATCAATTCATGATGTCAAAGTGACGTAATTCTTCCAGGACCATCTATGCTGTATGGCCTTTGCTTAGACCAATTTTCATTTTGTGGAGTGGCTTTGGCCATGCCATTCTGGCAGTTAAAAAACGTGTACAAAACATATGGCAAAAAATTAAATATTCAAAATTCAAAAATAAATCACGTGATGACGTCATCACGCCGAATTTCTTCTAGGGCCTACCTGACATGAATATCTAAAGGTCTGCTAAGTTTGAAATCAATCAGATAAACGAAACTATAAAAGTCCCCTGTCACAAAAAAAGGAAAAGAAAAAATATATATTGACGAAAACAATACCTGCTTCGGCAGTGCAGCCGAACAGCTAAGAATGCCCGGTTTTCGTGTTTGACGAAGTGAAAAACTTTTATAAATACATTACGATTTAAGGGAAAACGTCATATCGTCCACACCAATCAGAACTGCTGTCAAGGCGATTTTGTAAACGAGGTTGCTAATTTTTGCTCTCGACATCACTCAGTTTTAATCTTCGGCTTGTTTCCATCTATGGGGACATTCATTGGCCGCATTATTGACCAAGGTTTAACGCAAAATTAGCCTGGGTTTTGTGCCCTGTGACACTCCACAGGACGCATAAGTGAAGGTGATACTTGGCAGCGAAGATTAGTAAATGACATCTCAGAGGAGCTAGCTGAATTAGTTTGGCAACAACCAAGGAGTGATTAACCAAATGCCTTAGTGAAATCTATCGTGGCAGGATATTATGTCCTGGTTTGTCGAGTCCCTCCACAACAAATCTACAAGATAATGTACAGTGGGGTATCTCTAGCCTTATGATTCTCAAATGCATGTTTAATGTCAACGTGAGCAGAAATATCACCAGCAACCCATTCAGCTAAAAAATGATTCGAAATCTCTGGCAAACAAGGTTGTCAGTGAAAAAATGTCGTTGCTGATGTTGTTTATCGGTTCCAGTTAAAACAGATCGCTCACTACAGTGGAAAGCTCCTAGTATATGAGGATCCTGGTGTTAGAAGAGAACAAATCCATGGAGTCCTTGGCAGAGGGTGTTGTAGAGACAGCGTCTCATGTCATGGTGCACTGAAGAGTCACGGTAAGGTCGACAAACTGAAGGGTGACCTTTTCCTTTTGAAGTGAACTTTGTAGAGAGGCTTGCGCTTCAAAAAGACGGAACAGTTGTCGCTTGTGCCAAGAGGAGCTTTAAGTAAGTTGCGTAGTAAAGATCTTGTCAAACGACGAGTCTCCACTTGTTGGGAAGCCAGTAATTTGAAAAACATCCAGATCTGATGTGAGAGAATCCGTCTGAAGATCAAAAAGTGATGTGGCGGGACAACTGACACCTTTTGTGGCAGACAAGCAGACTGGCCTGATCGGAGATGGAATTGACCTGGCCTAACTAACCCAACAAATATAATTATTTTGTTTAACCTTACGCAAGAATGAACGGCTATCCAAACGCAAGGAGGATATCAGTAAACGAACGGTGGACTATGCCTCAGGGGCTGTTCGTTTGGGGGAAGGTTACCACCGCTCTGTGTTTAAGTAATTCTTCCAATCTCAATAAAGGCCACAATAAACGTCAATACAAGTGATACAGGACTGGGAGATATGCAACCATACGTATGAAGCCAAACCACTGTGGTTGTGTTTGTATTGCGCATGTCAATTGTGTGTTAGACTCGCGTTGCAGCCGTTCATCGGTATATCAACAGTGAAAACCACGGCCAACTTGTGTGAATTGCGGTAGTCAAGCGGATACAGCATAATTGTTTGTGATGAATGGGGTTTCGGTTCGAATCCTGGGTCGAAATTGTGGAAAGGGAGGGTTTTTTTACGAAAATAAAGCCCGAATGTTATGAGCCTAATTTCACACGTGAGGTTTTTATGGTTGGTTGAGCCAACCATAATGTCATCGTAATGTCATACATTTTGCATGGTTGTGAATCGTGGTTTGGTTTCATATGTATGGTTGCATATATAGCTCCTAAACACAAGTCTACATTGCTACCCAGTTTCACCACAGTGACAATGACTGTACATGTACATGAACAGTACATGTATGCCATACATGCACTTATCTCATCAACAGTCTGCTAAATATGATCAAAGAGTTCGTTTTCGTATAGTACTAGGCGGTTACCGATAAGGCTGCTTCAGGATTTCCCTAGACTAGATTGAACTTGATCGCAATAACTTTTTCGACAGCCTGCAAGATAGGCACCATGCATCGTGCCCTTGGATATTCTGGCACTGGGTGTTAGAACTCTTACTATTTCATTGAGGCCTTGTTGCTGTTGTTGATCAGATTTCAGATGGAGGCCATCAACAGATGCAATACCAGTATCCTCGCCCTCTCAGTCGGACTGCACTTCATCCAAGGGGGCGAGTCCAGTCAAGCCTCGTGATAGCTGATCTCGACAACGTGGACCATACGGAAGGCAACGTCTGCTTTAAGCCTGTTGACCACCATTCTAGTGGAAAACCCTGGGACAGGTGCAAGACAGCCTTCGTGGAACCTAACGTCACGCTGGTCTCCCCATCTAAGGGCAACGTGAAAGTGGGCGACACAATTCACTATCGGATCGACTCCAACCTCGCCCCAAAACAGGACTGCGTGTCAGGCGGTAACTTCTGGTTCGCCGTGCTCCACTCCCCGCGGAACCCTGAGGCCAGCTGCGCCGGCTTCGTGGTCGACCATTGTAACGGGTCCTATGATCTGTTCATGGTGGCTGCCTGGGCAGGGAACGCCACGCTCAACCTCACCCTGGTCCACACGGGCGAGGCGGTTAATCACCTGAGGAACGTGGTTTGGCCCGCCAAGGACAGGGTGTCATTCATTGGTTATTACAGACCAGCAGCCAACAATGCCACGGAGAACTACAAAACCTGGCCACATGGAGTGTGCAACTTCAGGCGTCCAGGAAACTGGAGCGGTGCCTGCGAGTATCCCTATCCTAAGGCGATGGGTGAATGGAGGCTGGTGTGCGATAATCCTACTGGCGTATCTTGCGAGACATTGTCTACCATGAAGGGGCATGGTGCCAGAATAGAAGGCAGCGTGTCGACGCTGACAAAGGATGTGAAGTATCTTTTTGCCAGGTATGGCTGATTAAAAACTTGCCAAAAATTAACCTGCCACACCCTTCCTGCCATAAGTCTACCAGATTGGTGTTTCGCGTGGTTAAGGTATTCTCACAAAACTGAGGTCTTATTGTCTACCAAAACTGTTTCGTATAGGCCCAATAAAGGTTCCAAATGCACTTTGCTGCTTTGGGAATGAAGTCGCACAGTCTCTGGCCCAAGACAAGTAATATCGAACGAACACTTTTAGACAGATCCTTGCCAAAGATGGCCAAATGTTATCAAAATTAAGCAATACCAGTGACAATATCAAACCATTTAGATTTAGAATAACACTACTCAAAATTTTCCCCCATCCATTTTTTAAAACTAAATTTAGACCTGAAGTGAGTATGTCACAAGCACAATTGTATATAAAAGGCATTAGTGCAAGAGCCAGTGCGTGGACCAAAACGTGCTCGCACCCATCCGGTTGTACTGCACTTTCTGGTGACGTCACACTTCAGTACTCTCATTCTTCAACGGGGATGAAGAGTCATAAGGTATTATCTAGATCATGATAGCAGGATGCTCAATACACACCAACATTACAAATTCTAGAACTTTCATTGCCGGGCATGTCAGGGGAGGGGCTAGGCCTCCTGGCGAGAAGCTGCCCCCCCTCCAAAGCATAAGCATAAAAAATATCTTAAGACGTCCTCTAAATGTGCCGCTAACATCAGATTCTGAAAATGTGAATAATCTGCGTGCTGTACATTCTCTGATGTGGCCCTCCAGCTGATACTGTGCCCCCCCTTAATGCCTGAAGCTGGAGACAGGGCTGTTCATTGCTCTTAACTCTCCATGCCTTCCAGGTAAAGAATGCTTTTACTTTGGATCACTTCGAAGAATTGAAATTGACGTTGGGGTCAAGTGCGGGGATTAAAATAATGTTAACATCCCATCCCCTAAAAATGGCTTTCTTGGAGACTGGCCATTGTGCCTAAAATGTCTTTGTTATTTTTTTTATTAATTTATTCATTTATAAAGCGCAAATTTCATATAGATTTGTTCAAATGCACTGTACAATGAATGCATTAAGTGTGGAATAATGAATACATTTAAACATGGTTGAGCCGATGGCATACAAGGGCGCCTCGGGCAACCGCCAAACCGGCGACCCACATTCACCAACATCAGTAAAGAGGACACAATAAGAAGCAGTTACAGGTTTAGAGGTGGAAGGAAAACCCCAGAGGAACAGTCTGGGTAAAACCCACGGAGTCAGGTAGGGACTGAAAACCCAATCCACTTATGGACCGGGCTGTGAATCGAACCCAGGACCACGGAGGTGGAAGGCGAGGAAAGTACTACCTTGCCAACCCGACTCCCCAACACTGATATGTTTCTATTATCATGCAGCTCCTCTAAAATGGGGTAAAGTTTGACTTTGTTTTTTAGTCCCATCAAACTACATCTGTTTAATGGCATTGTGAACATTTTGAGTCATGAACTATTTGTTTAAGAGGATATTTAACAGATTTGTGTACTCTTTGAATGGGTATCCTACAGGTATGTAAGGACTTAAAACCGTTTTGGTGTATTTTGTTTTCAGACCAAATTCCTACACTCGGGTCGAATCAACCGCTGTCCATTTAACAGTTGAAGGTATATATTTTATAATTTTGCATTGAATATGCTTTCGCATTTTGATCTTGGACGTAAGAAAGAAATTGGGGGGATTCCATTCTGTCTTTATAGTACATGTTAAATATTGGACTTAAAAATGGACATTAAATTTCCCAATTGCAAATTAATAATAGTGTGTAACATGAGAAAATAGGCTGGTATCCCCGTTATATTTACGCCCAGGTTTTTCCTTTATGATATTATGCTGAATAGTTAGATAATCCTAAATAGCAACTAGAATACACCCAACATAAATACCGATATAGGTCTTCTGAAGGATCTCTTACACCTCTATTTACAAAACCTTCAAATATCACTAAATGTTTGACTGCATCTTACTGAAGGAACAAGTGAAATGGTCAGCAATAAATTGCCACCGTGTCGTCCGGACCAGCCAATTCCACAGTTCCAAGGATACTGGAAAGACGGCGTCTGGCACTCTCTGTTGTGTGAAATGAAAACAGACTGGCGGGAAAAGAAACGTCTGAGACAGTGCCTGCAGAACAGACAACTGGTGCTCCTTGGTGACTCTACCACCCGGCAGTGGTTCTTAAACTTGCAGGGCATGATCGGCATCCAAGCAGTGAAACCACCCGGCGATGTGTATTGCTGCAACATGGTGCGTGTCTACAAGGAGCTCAATGCATCCATGCGGTTCCAGATTCACCCTTACGTCCTGGCCAGCTACGCGGTGGACATCAAGAACACCATGTTTGAGGTGGATGTTCTGGACGGGCTGGACGACCCTGCCTGCAATTACATCGTCGTCCTCAGTCCCTGGGCCCATTTTGCGCAGTGGATCCGGGACAGCTACATTACAAGGACACTACTGATCCGGGAGGCTGTCCTCCGTCTCCGGAAACGGTGTCCTGGTGTGCCGATTGTTGTTAAGGGGCCACACCCGCGCAACCACCGTACCTCCTCCTCCATCATTTATGGCAGCGATTACATCATACGACAGATTGGCTTGATTAACCAGGAAACATTGGGAGGCATAGGTGTGTGGTTTCTGCCTGTGTGGGACATTAATCTGGCATACCCCCTCAATAACACTGTTCACATGCCTGACAAAGTTGTTTATGAAGAGCTACAAATGTTCCTCGCCTTTGTATGCGAGGCGCACTAGTAGTAGTACAGTGAAGTACAAACAAACCTGCCTGCTGCTTTTCAAGTAGGTTAGTTTATACCATATAACCAAAAAGCAGTCGCAAAATCTTCTCTTGACTTTGGTAACTCCTCGAAGTACATGTATTGTTCAAATTACTCACTGAAAAACAATAAAGCCAGCAGTTTTGACTGAATGTATAAATTTCCTTTGTAGGAAAGGAAGTTTTACAACTCTAAATCCTTATCCCCTCAGCATTTTCCAAGGAACATTCTTGAAATCTCCAGAAGTCACTTTTAATGGAACCCAATTTTATGTTTTCTACCTTTCAAAATCTTCTAGTCAGCCACCTAGCCCAAGTGGACTCCCTGACCGTACTACGTTACGGAGGGAGTCCAGGGTATACAGGGTGCAAAATCGGGCGAAACATTTTGTTACTAAAATTTGCAACATTTCTACCTTTTCCAAGGAACCAATTTCACGTCTGTAACTCCTATGCGTCCTTATTTCCACGTCTGGTGATTTAAGAAATTCGACACATCACCACCAAAGACAAAAACGGGAAAATAAATTCGGACGTAACGTTAATTCTTGCCATTGTTGTGGACTGTTTTCAGCCGTTCTCCGGTGCAGTTCGTACAGTGTGCGCGCGCAACAATTCGGCGTACGACATTCCGAGCTGCGTACACGCACATGGAAACTGCATGTTCTGACTGGAACCAGCGAAACTGAAGTCTAAACGAATCCACTGGTTTCGAAAACGCTCACCGCACAACGGCACGGGACGTGGTTCTCAGCCACGAGTACCATTGATCTCCATACCGAGTAGGCCTACACACAACATCGGGCCGGCCGGGGGCGAAGCTGTGGCGTGCGTTGGTATGGTGACAGTTGGCCCTGTTACCTGCACCCATCCTTACACAGCTATACTTTGTTCTCGTGTACAAAACTCCCCTTTCCTGGGTTGAATTTCGACCGTATGTCCCTTATATAAAACACTTCAATTTGCGACGGATTTTCATCCATCAAAAATTTCCCCTTTTTGAGTTATTTCCAAGTATCAGTTTCGTGAAATTTTTGTGGGGTACCAATTTCACAAGGTAAAAACTGGCCCTTGGGGTACTTCCCATTGTTCTGGTACCCCACAAGGCCCCGTGTATAAACGCAAAGCCTTCTACAGTATGCTAACCGAGGTTATTCTTATAAAATAGCAGCTTGTGTCACAAATTTATGTTTACAAACCGACATTTAAAACAGAACAAAATATGAACATTTTAGGGGTAACCAATAGTGGGTTAATTGGTCAGTCTGAAGCCCCCGATCTGACAAAAACGGAACTGCATTTTTTACATCGACTCGACGGCACGCGGGCTAAAGCCGGGTAGCAGTCACGACCAAAGATTGTATAGCGCCGCTGTGCGGCGCTATACAATCTTTGGTCACGACCTCCGTGTAGCAGGCGAGTAACGGACCTTCACTGGAAATTGCGCACGCGTAGTGTGTGCACGCAGCTCGGATTGCTGTACTGTACATGTACGTGCGTGCACTTTACAGCTACACTCGAGAACGGATGAATTACGTCTACAAAAGTAACGTTGTTTTTCACTTATTTTCCTCGATTTTGCAGTCCATGGTTCGTTTTGAAATTCCTAAGCCTCCAGACGGATAGATAAGGCCTCGAAGAACTTGTAAACGTGTAAAATTAGTTTCTTCAACAAGGTAAATCAAGAACAAATTAGAACCAAATTTGTGGTCGTTTTGCACACAACTTTTATACCCTGGACGATCGTAAGGAAATGAAGACTTGGTCAGTCTTAAACATGTGTTCAAGACTGACCAAGCACATTTTTATTTCCATTCATAAATACCATTTTAATCAAAGAGTCAAAATAAGTCAATAGACGATAAATTTCTAAATGGTCTAAATTTGTTCAAGAATTTTACTTCCATTTTCCGAACACCCTCGGCCATTTTATGGAATAATCCTCGTGCAAGTAGTCCGGAAGAATCTCCTTACAGTCATGGACTTGGCACGCGCGTGGCGACTTCTGCCTGACACAATACGTATATCCAGGTGCCAGAGCGTTTTTATGCAGCGGGAATTATAACATTGCAGCGGACATTATCACGTTGATACACGTGTACGTTCACGTTGTGCGTTGTTGAATAGGAAAACTGTCTAAGGTATTTATGATGTTTTTATTCTTGTAATGGTACGACTCAGTGCCCACTGCGGAAATTTGATTATTCCCCAGTTTGTGGCATACATGTATACTCCGTCTTGGTAGCTAAAAGATATTTACATATTATTACAAATATTACAAATACTTAATATAATGTAGTTCGTAGCTTAAATCTCTAACAGTTCCAACACAAGGCAATTAAAGTGTCTTGTTAGACTCAACTGGTTTCCTTTTTAGGTGGTTTTGATGTCTTGTAATGAGTTAAACAAATAAATGTTGTTTCAGTTGCACTTTTTGGCTCCATTTTGTGTATCACCTTGATTACTTGCACTTTGGTCTAATCTAATGTGGGGCATTTAAGTGGATAAAATAGACAAACCAAAGGGTGTGTCACATGTTTTAAAAGATATAAATCTCTGCTTACAGTCAGAAATGGAAGTCCCATCTTTTTCATTCCATTTTGATTGGAAGAAGGGTTCAAGTAATGAACCAAATGTATAACCATCACAGGAACACTGTTTACAGGACTGGGCACCGTTGATGGTACTTGTGTTGCATTGTGTTGTGGAGATCTGATCACACTGGAAAGAAAATTATACAGTTTAGGTCCCAGGGTTCCTTGGTGTACCACGATGTCCAGGTGTCAATATTTACAGAACAGAGCTAGCACTTAAATGAGGCTTTTAATGGCATGGCCGAAAAAATATGTTCTGTTCTTTAATTGTCTCAGAGCACTGTTTAAATCTTGCACAGATTGTACAATTGCCATAAATCTGAATTAGATTGCAAAGCCATTCAAATGAAAGTCTCAGATATGTATGGCATTAATGAACCTGCGACTTTACTCACCACGGAACCAGAGCTTCGATTGACCATTTTACTTGACCTGCTTTTGCACTGGTGTTATTCATGACCAATATCCTGCATAAGCATTTTTGCAGTACTAAGTGTACGCAGGCATAAGCAAGTGCAGAGCAAAAACTGTCATGTTCGTCCGAATTTCATATCAGACCTGCTGATGTTGGGGGTTAACCTTTTTTTCATGACAAATTTTGTGAATACCGCCTGAAGGCTGTCTCAAATAAAATCCTGAAGGATGTAATCTCCGTTTTCCTTGACATCCTAAAAGGAATTCCAATGCAAAAGGAAACCGTTTTGGAAAAATTAGCTATTATGACTATCCGTCAGAGTCTGATGAGTCACTGGTGGAAGACGACTTCTTTTTGGATCCTGCGCCTTTACTCTGGGATGTCCTAGTCTTACTCTCCTCTTCGTCACTACTGCTACTACTGCTACTGTCGTCACTGTCATCATAGTCCTCGTCGTTATACTGCTCTGCCTCCCTCTGCGCATCAGCGGTGTTCTCCTCCTGGGCTCCCGGACCTTCCTCCTCGTCATGGGCCTTGTCATCATTGGGTTCCTTCTGCTTGAGCTTCCACTGCTTGGCCATGGCAAGCAGCTTGAGGTTGGGCAGGTTGGATTCGTCGTCGGGGAAGATGTAGTCATAGTATTCCTCCCATCCTGCATCCGACTACAGGGACAATAGGAAATGCAATGCTAGTGAATGTGGAGGAAGTTGAAAAATTATGTTTGCTGTGATACCCTGTGTGTCTATTTGTGAGCTACCTATGGGGCTGAAAACAGTGTGATCTCTTTGGTATCAATGGAGCCCACAGCTGGAATTATTTAGCATGCACAAAATTAGTGAAAGAGATGGAGTGTCACACTGTGTCATCACAAACTTCTGCGTATTGTCATGCAAACCTTCAGATTTAAAGTAAAGAGGCTAACAAACCTCAGTCCATGGCTGGACAGGACATGCACTCTGGCAAAGAGCCTTCTGTCTCTATCCCCTCTAAGCGTATCACAGCCCTCCAGCACTAAGAATATCAATATGACTCTTCCACATGGTGTACTCCCTTGTCAGTTTTTCTGTTGTGAGTGCCCATACCAGCCACTCTGCAACACAGCACTCAAAATACATGGGTAACGATACTCATGTTTAGAATCTGGACTTCTCACCCCGTCGTCTGTCTGAATCTTGCGTCTCCTCTTGACCTTGTTGGGCATCTGTTTCCTGACCACTGCCTGGCTCTCCTCGTCTCCACATTCACCCTACATACAAAGGAAAAAACATGTTGAAAGAATGTGCTTTACATAGGGGAGACTTTAACCACTTGCTGATGGTATTATATTCGGGACGAAAATTTCACATTTGGAAAAAGGCAAACTATATCAGCCAACTTTTGCTATGCGGCCAAACACCACAAATGAAGATTTGCAAGAGTCATTTGAACAATACTTCAGTGTTTCTTATCGCAACCTCACATTTTTCAACACTGAGGAAAGCAATCACAGGTCAAACAAAGTGGCTAAATTCAAGTTGGACAAATTGTGTACCTTCCAAGATATCTCTGATTTTGTGTACAATACAAATGGGGGATTAACATGTTTAGACATGAGCCGGAGATGAGTCGAGATTCACCTGACAAAAGATGCCAGCCATACCTACATGTATGTTTACAGACAGCCAGAATGCGTTGGCATATCCTCCAGCATAGAGTGTGTCTTAAAGATCTGTCTCAATTTCAAAGATCTGATTAGGAATGTTACAAGCTTACAAGGCAGCTGAGAACCAGCCACGGGCAATGTACATGTACAATGTACGATGCAAGGCTGTTGAGAACCAGCCACAAGCAATGTACATGTACAATACAAGGCTGTTGAGAACCAGCCACAGGCAATGTACATAACGGTGCAAGGCTGTGTCTAAATTGCTTGGCTACGGCTTGACTTTACACATGAGTCTATGGCTGTGGCTGCTGCCATTTTCAATAGAGTTGTGTGTAATTGCAAGCTGCAGCTGAGTCACTGGAAGAGTAATTTGAAAGTTTGGCTAATGAGCTGTCCTTATCAAGTAGATGTTTCCTGTGCTAAGCAGCTAGATAAAATGGGGCCCTGGATGCCGATCCTGCCTGACGGCTGGGCTGCTTGAGTCCTCAGGCAAGGCAATTTACCACACATTCATCTCAGCCCATATGAATTGTGTTAAGAGGCTTTGTACACACCCATAAGAGTTAAAGTGGAATAAAAACAAACAATAAGCGTGTAGATCACACAAAATGAAATTACGAAATGGTATTGATAATTATCAAAAGTGCCAGGGTATTTAAGTGAAAATTATAGAATCAGCTGATCCGAGGAAAAGTTCAATGACTGAAGTTGTCCAGACCGTCTTGCAAGCCTGTTACTGTCAAATGAATACATAAATCCATCCTGATATAAAGCGATGTTGATATCTCTCGAAAAGACTTTACATGCTCTACCTTCTAAAGCAAATGCAGTAAAAGCAGTGCATATTTTCTGTAAGCATAATGGGAGGAAATGCATGCAATCATATTTTGAAAGCAACATCTGACCATAAAAGAGGAGAGCTTATAAATATGAGCCCTTTTCACAACGTACACATTCCTATGAAAACGAAATCCTTCAGCCAGTAACAGACTCAATATGAATTGCCAAAAAAACAAACAAATTAGAGGCTGGATCAGAGCGACAAGTATCAACAAACACATGAAAAGAGTCCATGAAACAAACTTATTTTTCTGTAGCCTCACCTCAAAGTCCTTCCAGGACTCAAGCAACATCAAGCGTTCCTCCTTTTCCTCGGAGTCTCTGAGTGCCTTGCTGGCATCCCTGTAGATGCGTCTGGCTCGCTCCACACACCCCTCGGCACCCACGGACAGCTCAAACTTGGCAAAGCTGATCCACACCTGACAATAACAGAGGCTAAAGGTCATCAAGATGGACACGGTTCTGGTCGGGTTCAACGATGGAAAACTTGGAATCATTTCATATGCAGGCTTAAAAATTAATTGCTCTCCGTGTTCATTTATCCAGTGACTTTCAAAACAGCTGAAAACTACCTATCTCTGTTCAGTAATATGCTGAGTGGAATTCCCTTGGGCAGATAGATCATAAATTCCCTTGCTACTCTGCCAACTTGGAAGGTGTGATCAGTTCTTACCAGAAACTATTGGTTAACTCCGTTTGTTTCCAAACATTTGCCCTGTCTTTGAATACCTGAGGTTTTGTGATGCCAAGAGTCAAAAAAAAAATGCACTGGGTCTGCAAAAAACAGGAATTCTTTTGTCATTAACCTCTGCCCTACCTAGTTGTTGGAGGAATACTACTAACTTTACAAATTTTACGAATCAGTTTCTTCCGAAATTAGCATCTAATTGTCTTAGAATAACAAGCAAAGTGATGATTCCTGCTCGCTGATGAAGCTGTGGTTTGATATCATGTCCATCACCAGGGTCCTCTGAATCTGACATTAACCTTGACATGCTGCGTCCTCTGTAGGAGACACCTGTAGAGTGCCCTTGTCCTTTCGTACTCTTCCTGTTCAATTTCAAAGTCAATGTAGGCCTTCCACAGCACCTCTGGCATGTCCAGCTTGGGTTGGTTAATGGCCAAGTCGAAAATCGCCCTCGCCCTATCGATATCACCCAGAATACTCTCCAGTTCCGAGAACTGTTAGCAGAAAGAAAAAAAATCACTGTATACAAATTAATCAATTTTATGATTGACACAATCAAAATCTTTCAAAAGTCTATGGGCACACACACACAAAGTATATTTTTCAACACCTCTGGAGGGGCCCATGCAGCGATATTTGCTACAGAAGGCTGTGCACAGCAGCCAAGTTCAAGGTCAACACATGATCCCTCTCCACAGACTTCTACCAGAAGTCTTATAAAAGACTCTGTGTGTGTACAAAAACATTGAGTGAGTGAGTTGAAACAGTGAGTTAACACCAGGAGGTGAGTTGAGTTCATGTTTTGACCTATCACCAGAGCCAGATCGTGTTTACGCATCCTGATGCATAAAAGCGGTTAATACCTTCATCCAGGTGGTACAGTTTTCGGGGTTGAACTCCAGGAATTTCTGGTACAGGATGCGACAGCGATCAAACTCCCTCAGCTGCAGCTCAAGCTCAATGTAGCCCTTAAACAGCTTGTCCTTGGGACACTTGCCGATAGCTGTACCCTGCATACGATAAACCAAAAATTCATAGAAACAATTTCTAATTGTCGATGAGACAAAAGTTGCCATCGAGCCTTACAAAATGCTGTCAAAATGGCTTTGTAGACTCAGGTTATTGATCTTGGCTCACAATGTCAACCATTTGGGAACACGCATTGTGCTTTACAATACCACACAGGACAAGGCATTGCATTTCCTATTGTTCCTATAATATTCTACCCTCCCGTAGACTAAGCACAGCAACGAACCACAGAGGGCAGATTTGAACAAAGGAAAGACACGGAGAACGGGAAATATCCTTTGTTCCCTCTGGTATTTTCAACATGTTTACATGAGGACATGTTTGTATGTTCAAACATGACAGGCTGTTTCCAATAAACATGTTGATTTCGCAATACTTTGTGGTGTCGTCCATGATATCTCTGAGCTCTGACATTATGAGTTCAGGCCCTGACATGGGGGGAGGACTTCGACTAAAGACCAGTCTGTTGGGGGTGTTTTATTCGTAGGCTTTTTAACCATTTCAGAGCAAAACCCAGAGCTAGAACATGATTTGAGAGAAACTCCCAAACACTCCCAAACCAGTAATGGGGTTCCTTTATCTGCATTCTCTTCTTTGCTTCGATCAGAACCCCAAAATAAGTTAATGTGGTAACATGCTGTCTGGCCACGCACCAAGATCTTCCTTGCCAGGCTGAGGTTCTTCTGTCGGATCTCAAAGTGGGCAAACATCAACCAAACCTTGGCAAATGTGAACTTCTTGTGGGGCATCATGTCCAGGCACGCCTTGTACACCTGCCTGGTCCTCTCCATATCCTACAAGGTCAAGAGTGAAATGACTCTGATAAATCTTCTCAGAAGTGGGAGGCTTAACAACAGAGACAAACACTGCGGCTCAAGGAAGATAATTGGGGGTACATGTCTCTGTATCTTTCCCTCAAGAAAAAAACGTTAACAGATAAAAGACAATTATCATGACAAGACCGTAATAAAGAGGGCAATGATTTGATTGAGACCCTATTTCATGGCATTGCATACAATGAGCAAGAGGTCTTCAATAACCTAAGCAAATAATTCTGCTCTAACTAATGGTTAGCATATATTAAAGATCAGCAGAGAAACCCCTAAACTAAAGATTCTGTACTTGCTAGCGCCGTACGCACAGAACGCTTATCATAAGCACAACATTTTATGCTTAGCAGAGTCATAAATTTGGACCCAGAACCTGAAACCTGATACCAACACTGTATTTAAGTTTATTATTTACAGAGGCAGAGAAATAGAGGGGGGGGGGAAATGCGAGAACAATCCAGGGCTCTCTTATTCGTCAACTGGTACAATTGCTTTCGGAATGACCCCTGACTAAAATTAGAATTTAAGAGGTGAATAGCGTTGTTGTCCTTGGTACCTACCCTCATGTTCAGTTCCTCATACAGGGCATAGTTGATCCACAGATAGACATAACGCCTCCACAGACGCTTCTCCTGGGCAGGGGGAACGTTGGCAATGGCCCTTTCATAGATCTCCCGCACCGTGTCCTCGTTTCCGTCTGTCTCCAGCAGCCGCAAGTAGTCAAACCAGGCATCGTAGTTGCTGGGGTTCGCCTTGACCTCCTGCAGATGGCAAAGTGGGGTGAAGAGTTTTCGTAAAATGGACACGACAAGTGGCAGCATTGTGAAATAACAAGCTGCCATTGAGAACTTTGAAATCTGCAATCTGAAATAGTGGTTAACATTCAGTACTCTCAGCCAAGGCAAGTGACTTTATTACACTGGCATACAGTTGAGACCTTTGAACTGATCAAGCAAGTTCAAAAAAGTGGCGAATTGAAGCAATAGCCAAT